GTAATCCCAGCACTTTGGGAGGTTGAGGTGGGCTAATCACCTGAGGTCCAGAGAGAATGTGGAAAAAAGGGAAACTTCATACACTGTTGGTCAGAATGTAAATTAGTGCAACCACTACGGAGAATAGTTCAGAGGTTCCTCAAAAAATTAAAAATTGAACTACCATGTGGTCCAGCAATCTCACTATATAGCCTAACAGGGTATATACTCAAAAGAAAGGAAATCAGTATATCAAAGAGATATCTGTATTCTCATGGTTACTGTAGCACTATTCAAAATAGCCAAGATTTGGAAACAACCTAAGTGTCCATCAACAAACAAATGGATAAAGAAAATGTGGTACATGCAAACAATGGAGTACTATTCAGCCATTAAAAAGGAGATCCTGTCATTTGCAACAACACAGATGGAACTGGAGATCATTATGTTAAATAAAATAAACCAGGCATAAAAAGACAAAAATTCACTTATTCTCACTTATTTGTGGGAATCTAAAAGTCAAATCAATTGAATTCATGGAGATGGAGAGTAGAAGGATGGTTACCGGAGGTTGGGAAGAATAGTGAGGGCGTCAGGGGAGGGGAAGTGGGGATGGTTAATGGGTACAAAAAATAGTTACAAAGAATGAATAAGAGCTAGTATTTGGTAGCACAACACGGTGACTATAGTCAATAATAATGTAATTGCACATTCTTTAACAACTGAAAAAGTATAATTAGATTGTAACACAAAGGATACATGTTTGAAGGTTTGGATACCCCATTTACCCTTATATGATTACACATTAGATGCCTGTATTGAAATATCCTATATACCCCATAAATATAAATACCTATTATGTGCCCACAAAAGGCAAAAGTTAAAAAAAAGAACAAATGAATTGAGTAAATGTAAATGAAATAAAAGCCTATAAACTTCAAAAGTAATTATGTTTTATAAAATATGTCTACCTAAAATTGTTTCAAAAATCTTTTTTTTGTAACTTGAAATTTTTTTTTTCTTTTTTTGAGACAAAATGTTGCTCTGTCGCCCAGGCTGGAATGCAGTGGTGCGATCTCAGTTCACTGCAACCTCCACCTCCAGGGTTCAAGCAATTCTCCTGTCTCAGTCTCCTGAGTAGCTGGGCGCACACCACCACCCCCGGCTAATTTTTGTATTTTTAGTAGAGATGGGGTTTCACCATATTGGTCAGGCTGTTCTTGAACTTCTGACCTTAGTTGATCCACCCACTTTGGCCTCCCAAAGTGCTGGGGTTACAGGCATGAGCCACCATGCCTGGCCAGTAACTTGAAATCTTAAAGTTATGTTATGTTCAGTTAAGTAATAAATATTCATTAAATATTGAAGCCATTTCTCAGTGAGTTAAAACATTAATTGCTGAACATAAGATTAAAGAATATATACTTTGGCATTTTGTTTTTATACAGCATAGAGAAGCTAATTATATTTGGGTCTGTTAATAAACATGAAATATTATATATGACATGGTGTTTGTTTATAAAATGCTCATATGAAACTGTTTATAATGCTTACCAGTTTTCACTAGAAATTAAGGTTACTAAGAATTTAAAATTCTAGTTAATGTTTGTAATTAAAACTTCTAGAACTAATAAGGGCAACAACAGTATATGTGAATGAAGTAAGGCATGTTTTATCAAGGAAGTTGTAAGTATAAGGATGTATTTTTGTTAAGGGGGGAAAAGGGGTAATTTTTGTCTTAGAGTGATTAATTGGTCCACAGTGGGAGCGAGGAATAGTATAGGACAAACTAAATTGATATAAGAAAGGGATTGACAGTTTAAAATTTGAAAAAGGTGACCGGAGGCAGTGGCTCAAGCCTGTAATCCCAGCACTTTGGGAGGCTGAGGTGGGTGGATCACGAGGTCAAGAGATCGAGACCATCCTGGTCAACATGGTGAAACCCCGTCTCTACTAAAAATACA